TTGCCTTCGGAAGTTGTGAGAGCATCATCACTGGAGGCTTTCAAGAAGAGGCTGGACTGCCATCAGTCAGAAATGTTGTAGGGTCTCCTGTTTGGGCCAAGGGTTGGACTAGATGACCTTCCAACTCTGTAAATCTGTATCTGTATCTGCTAAATATAGGTGTAGATTCAACAGCTGATAAATTGTGAGATGTGCTCACAAAGTATGGGTGCCCATATGCAGCATTCATCAGAAAAGGTCAGGGCTTCTTCGCCCAGGTGACCAACTGCCATTTCTCTTGAATCGAATATGTGTTTTGATCACTGCTAACTAAGTGGTGCCTGGAATTTACTCTCACTGATCTAAAAGGTGCCTTTTCTCTAACTGTAATTGCCCTGTTTAGGATTTAAGTTTTTTTTAAAAAAAATCCTTGAATAATCTTGCACTTTTAAAGAAGCCCATTAAAAGAAAAAGAAGGGGAGTATTTCCTTTAAAAACTAACAACCACCAGAGGTATGATAGCAGGTTGTTAAAATTATATTTGTCACCCAAATTGGCAGCAATGTCCTCTGGTCCTGAGTATTCCAGATTTTATTGGTAACAAATCTTATAACGATTAAATATAAGGTTTACATTTTATTACCAGTAGAAGTTTTTAAAAAAAAGAATGACAGGTTTTTAAAAACTCAGCCTAATTTATAGCCTTACAACAAACTCAGGCCCTCTGAATCTTATCATGAATGAATCTCAGAGCCCTTACTGATGCCCCAAAGGTTTCTTGTTTTTTTTTCCTTGAAAATATTTTGTTGTGAAGAAGCTTCTTGAATGAAAAATGAAAGGTTTTCAAGGAAAAGCCAGTGGCCTTTTGAAAAGCACCTTTCAGACAACCATGACCTGGATGATTGAGAATCTCCACAGACATTTATCAAAGCTGATACATCTGTTTGTCAGGAAGTGCTTATGGTTGTTATTCTAAATATACAGAAAGGATATGGTTTTTCCAGAGTCAGCATGGATTATTATTTATATATTTGAATGCTGGATGTTACCAAATTTATATTGGGTGGTCTTCACCTTTAATTCCTCCTACAAGTAGCTAGGTATATATTGCGCTGAAGATAGGTTGCACATAATTAGCTAAAATATGTACCAAAAATGGTCATGACTACTACGTGATGTGGTTTGAAATAAGCACGGCATAAACTTATATTACCACATTCTTGAATTGAAAAAAACATAACAATGTATGATCAACATCCTTTCATGCTGACCTTCAGCTAGAAACCAAAATACTGCAAGACTGTAGCAGAAAATGTATTTTACAAACACAGTTTATGATAAAAGTTCTTTCTTTATCCCATTTTATTTTTTTGCAGAACAAATTATCAGCAAGATGAACAGAATCATTCACCTGAGCTTGGCCTTGCTGGTGTTTTCTCTCGTCAGCCATGGCCACCATGATGTCGATCATCCCCACGATCATCATGACCCCAAGGCTGCTAGCAAGATCCAGCGCAATCTTGTTGATTTTGCAATTGAACTCTACAAAATCCTGGCTGCAAGATCTCATGAAGAGAACCTTGTTTTCTCACCCTGCAGCATTTCTATGTTGCTTTCAGTTCTGTTATTAGGGACAGACTCCAACACTCATGCAGAGATTTTAAATGGCCTTGGCTTTAACCTGACACACATTCAGGAAGATGAGATCCACCAGGGGTTTCATGAACTTCTCCATCTGCTTAAGCATTCAGAGAAGGATTACAAGCTGGATATTGGGCAGGCCCTATTTTTAAAGGAAGGCATACAGCCATTGCAGACATTTTTAGATAAGATTAAGGAACTCTATGAAGCAGAAATCCAAACCACCAAGTTTCAAAAACCAAAAAAAGCTGAAAAGCAGATCAATGATTATATAAAGAAAAAAACACACGGGAAAATTGCAGAACTAGTCAAGGATCTTGACCCAGAAACAGTCTTTGTTCTCACAAACTACATATTCTTTAGAGGTAACCTTCACAGGGAAAAGGAATGATTCCTTCACTAAAGGAAATATCCAGAGATGCTATTTGAGACAGAGTAAAGCTTTTTAAGTTTGG